TATGTCTGCTGTGACCAAATCCATGATGAAGAAAATGACATAAACCTTTTAAGAATCCTTTCTTGTGCCAGGCGGTGGTGGCACACACCTTTAATTCCAGCACTCGGGAGGCAGAGGCAAGCAGATCTCTGTGAGTTCGAGGCCAGGCTGGACTGACAGCTTCCAAAACAATACAGAAAAACCCTGTCTCGTAAAACCAAAAAAAAAAAAAAAGAATCCTTCTTGTTTGTTGATAATAGAGTAATAGAGAAATGCTGCATGAAAAGGCATTAAATATGGAAAGAATCTGAACAAATAGTGTTGTAAACCCTTCTTTTTATTTATTTATTTTTCAGTTTAAATTTAGATAAGAAACAAGGTTGCTTCACAAGTCAGTTCCAGGTCCCTCTCCCTTTCCCTGCCCTCCTCCCGTGCCCTCCTCCCAACCCCCCCCATTATCCCCTCATTTCCCCAGGGAGGGTGAGGCCCTCCGTGGGGGTGTCCATAGTCTGTCATTTCATATAGGGCAGGGCCTAGACCCTTCCCCAAGAGTTCAGGGTGAGAGTGCACCTCCCATTGTTGGATGGGAGTCCAAAGTCCGTGTGTATACTAGGGATGGGTACTGATCTGCTGCCCAAGGCTCAATAGATTACCTAGGCCTCCTCACTGACACCCACATTCAGGGGGTCTTGATCAGTCCCATGCTGGATTCCCAGGCTGATGCCTGGGATTCAAGAGTTAACCTTTGTCAGGTCAGCTGTTTCTGGGGGTTAAACCAGCCCAGTCTTAATCCCTTTGGTCATCAGTCCTCCCTCTCTGTTACTGGCTTTCTTGAATTCAGGTCAGTACTTAACCGAAGGAGTCTGCCTAAACCCTTCTTTGTGGGGCTTCAGTCAGATCCAGCTGTCTTGCCGGGTTCCTACCTAAGAGGGGGAGTGTGGATTGATAAACAACAAGTAAAGATGCTTAAGAAAAAGACAGACACACAGGATGGGGTCGGGAGGGCAATCTAGTGAGTACTGGATGCTCCCAGTTTATTCTCCAACCAAAAGGGGAACATGGCAAAAGATTTTTATCATACATAAGGAACAAACAGAATTTCTTCCCTTAATCCTCCAAACATTTGTTAACCACACCTTAGAATCAATTTCCCGTTATCTTGCCTTGAGGGTCAAGAGTAACCACACCTCAGACCAAGTCTGTTGCTATTTAGATAAGACATCCTCTACCAACATCAAAACTTCAGATTTTTAGGTCTTATGACTTACAAAGGACAGTTTTGAGTTCTCTGATCTTGAGCCAAGATGAACTGGAGCCAACTTTATAGGCCCTGACAATTCCCCCTTATGTCTTAAGTTATCTTCTTTCAGCTTCTAGCCTCACTCATCATTGGAACACACGTTCTGTCATGCGTGACCTGTCTTAGGTTTCCTGGACACAAAAAGATCTTACCCGTCTTTGACTACCAGCCTGTGTAATAAAAACGTTAGGGGATAGTGCATAACTTGGCACCATGCACCTCTGAGCCAACTTTTCATCGAGAGTTCACAAGCAGGCTTGATCAGGCTAAGCAATGCACTTGCTTTTATGGCTACAACGTCTCCTGTCAAAGGAATAAAGGATGATCAAAATGAAATGGCCTTTTAAAATTGGTCTAGGATGTCTCCAGTAGTTTTAGCTGTATCAATATCTAAATCTGCCTTCTTAATTACATTGTACCTAACAACTCATTAAGTTAGCATCGTGTCAAATTCTTGTCAGAATGAGCTCTGACTTCTTTCTCTCTATTAACACTTACATAGCATAGCAAAAGTTGCAAACATTAATAATGCCAGTATGATTATTAACAACAGACATATTGTTGGCTAGATTACAATTCTCATAATTTCAATCCAATCATAGTACAATAAAATGTTTTTGGGGTGAATGAAGTATGAATAACTCCACAATGCTGAACCTTTCCTTTTCCCTCTCTTAAAGTCCAAATGCATCGCTGCTTTCAGTTTCCAAAGATAAAGTTTGAGACGCCACTGCCCTTGAGTACTGAATGCCAACAGCAAAGCTTTAGGCACACATCACCCCCACTGTAGTGTTCAGCTGTTCTGATGCATCCTGTCTGCATGAAACATAAATGCCCCCGGAGGCTGGGTTATGGGCAAACATGGTGCATGCACGTATAAGGACAGCTCCTTACAGTGCTCCTTTCCATACCATGTGACCCACAGCGAGAAGTTAGCACTGGCCTCCATCCTGCCAGGGAGAAAACACTGAAGGTTGCTTGCTTTTTCACAAAGGACAGGGAAACCCAGAGCCCCACTACAGGAATGTAAGCTGATAGGCATGCGTGGTCCCTGGAGCGATGCTGTGGGTACAAGAGGGACCACAGTCGCAGAAGAGTTGCTGGGCTATCCAGGCAGACAGTGTTTTATATTTACTTTGGGAGACTTTGTGTCCTCAACTACTACATTTTTTATTGTTTGCTAAATTTGTTGCTGAATGGTATACATTGCTTGATCTCCTCATACGGATGGACATCCTTTGGGAGTTTAGTTAAACTACCTGTCATTTCTCTGTGTTCCAACTGCCCGTTTATGGCATACACCGGGCTCTGCTTCCTGGCCAGCGTTGCTTCCATGAACCTGCCTCTATCAGCTTTAATGCTTTATCACAAAGACCCGAAAGGAACCCTGGAAGGGCGGTGACTTAAAGTCACCAAATAGGGACACAGGGATGCAATCTCCAGCAGGGACAGGAAGTCTCACACAGAAGCATTTCCCTCCTGAGATTAGTAAGATTTTATGTCTATGTTTTATATAATCTTTTACATCTATGGTTTCTTATTTATAAATATATTCATGAAGAGTAAATATGGAAACAACACAGTGCTAGTCATAACAACTAGACCCCAAAATGAATATGGTCTCATGCATGGTTCTAATTTATGTTAAGCTCTATCAGAGTCCCAGCTGGGTAATTCTGGTGTATGGTTAGTGTTTCAGCTGGTAGTTGTAGGGTAAAAGGGCCAGCCAAAGATACCACTGTAGGCCCTGAAACTAGAGCCACTGAAAAAAAAACCAGTCCTGGCACAGAAACCAGAACCAAAGAAACTCACTTTAGCCTTGGTACTAGAATCAATGAAAGTAATATACCCTTGCCCTGAAAATAGAGCCAAAAGGCTAAAATGGACCAGTGAAAGAAACACAGTTTTGCCCTGAAATCAGAACCAAATCTGCCTCTGACCAACTGAACTAACCAAATCCTGATGAGGAAACCAAACAATCATTGAGCATGAAATCTAGCAGCCTGACCCTGAACCCAGAGCCAATGAAAGAGACACTTTATCCTTGAACCCAGAACCTAAGGAACACACTTTGACCCTGGAATAACAGCCAATGAAAGAAAAAAAAATACTTTAGCCATGAAAATAGAGCCAAAAGGCTTAAAAGGGACAGTGAAAGAAACACAGTTTGTCCCTGAAATCAGAACCACATCTGCCCCTGAACAACTGAATCAACCAATCACTGAACAGAAAATCTTCTCCCTGGGAAAACTCTGCCCCTGAGAATCCCTATATAAGCTCCTCAGCTGGTTCAGTTATTGGCTATGCTTTCCCTCCCTGGCAGAGGCAGCCTCTCTCTTGGACTTTTCATTCCCAAATACATCTCTTTCTTAAAAGGATGGAGCATGAAAACCTTTGCTGAGCTGTTTCTCTAGGAGGCACTGAGAAGAAAAGTAACTTGGCACTGCAGCCACAGAAATTGCAACATTTCTGCAGGGGTTTCTCTTTGGTAGAGTGAAGCAGAAGAAGTAACGGCAGCTCTTTTAGGGCATTCCCCCATTGGAACGGAGCATAGTTCAGCTGTAATGCCTCTCTCTCAGAGAGGAGTGGGATTGCTACATCCTGTGGGGAGACCATCCCTCACATGACCCCAGTGTCGAGGATAGCCTGACTTCCCGGCAAGTCTGGATACCTTTCTCCCCAGAGCTGTCACACTCGCAGTGAGTGCTTCTGTTACCGAGGACTCTCCTGTCCCACGGATTCCTCATGGGATGTTTCATCCTGATGTTTGTACAGTGGTTAGAAGGAAGTAAGAAGACAGCAGAGGAGATGTGTGTTCTTTAAGGGCCTTGGAGAAGATGAGACAATACATTACTGTCCACTGCTGGGGGGGAATTCATCTCATCCTGACATGCAGTAGCAAAATAAGGGGTCTGAATGTCGTGAATGTCTTTTGAAAATAGAGGGGAAATGAGAAACATTTTGATTATAGCTACTAGCTTTCACCATAGTTAGAAACATAAGTCAATTAATAACAGCACCACTGGCAAAACACAGGCTAATGCTGCCTTTTTAAGGTACGTTTGACCCAAAGCTGCCTATCTAAGATCCCTCAGCTGACAAACTAGGTGCATGCACAAAACTAAAAGGCTAGTGGAGAATTATTTTGAAATAAAGCTCTAAGTAGCAGCCAATAATAGCCATAGTGTTGGGACCACTCCAGACCATGTCCAAACGGGCAAATGGTAAACTGTAATTAATCTCATCTGCTCCTAGCACAGAGCACATGACTCTCAATCATCACTGATGACTCATGATGTATCTCTTCTTTGTTCAGTTTTATCTAAGTGAAGCTTTTCCTTTTAGCAAACTACACAAAATTCTGTGTCTAAGTTTATATAAAAAATGATGCCTACATGTCTGAGTATGTAAGCCTTATGCCCGAGTGCATAAAAAGGATGCCTAAGCACTGTATAGTTAGTAATGAGTACTATGTGACACTACCAAAGCTACGGAAGTTAAATGACTATGGGAGGTGGCAGGAGGAACCACAACTCACATGAAGTACATTTACATCGGGAGATGACGTAACCCGCCTTTCTTATCCAATACCACAAGTTAAAACCTGGGGAAAATGTGAAGTGATTATGCTTTCCCCTGACACACTTTACGTAGTTTCCAAGGTATTGGAAGGGAAAATAAGCTTACCTCTTACGTTGTTTTTCTGTTTGCTCTGATATAGGTCAGAAGGAGTCTAAAGCCGACTCTGAGGATGAAGAAGCGGACACTAGGTTTAGGATATCTTCTGTGAAGATTCCTCTATACTCCACTAGGTCGCTCACGTATGGTGCAATGTTGAGGGAGATGAAGTGGGAATACTTCCCAGACTATCTCCAGCCACTTCCCGCCAGTCGTCCAAAGGCAGAAATCAAGAGGCAGACACTAGAGGAGCTGAAGGAAAGGAGAGAGTTTTTGGCCTCCCAGAGGGCAGGCGTGAAGCTCCACATGTTTAATGACATTGATAAATATCACTCAGAACAAAGGCACCAAGAAAAACAAGCAGAAAAGTCAACATTTGTAGTCATGGCACAGATTGCCCAAGAAAGAGCTAGGCTCAGCGTCAGAGATGCTCTAAGTAGGAAAATGTTTACAGCACAAAGGCTGATGGAAAAAGACAACGAGACACTCCAGAAAGGCTTACGACAAATTTGGAAGGAAAAGCTTGCCTACCTTGAAAAAGTTAGAGAGCGGAAAACCATGTTTCTAGCTGAAAAAAAGCTAAATGCCCTCGACCATTCCTTAGTGCAGAGCATCAACAACGAGCGGACCCTTCTACTCAAAGGAATCTTTGAGGTTGACAGAATGAAGAGAAACATGAATGAGTTAAGAAAGAAGCACCTGATGGTCACCGACAAACGGAAAACAGAGAAGTATAAGCAAAGTATGCTGAGGCAGCTGAAGGAGATCAGGTAGGCACACGGCTAGGACACAGGCAAGCCTTCAGTCCGGTGTCATTTACAGTCAGTGCTGAATTCTGTGCGTTTCCCTAAGGCTTGACTCTGCGTAGTTGGAAAACGGAAGCAAACCAAAGGGAGGAGGAAATCGTGTGCCGGGCTCATCACCAGAGACTGGGACACGGAAGAAGTCTTCTTCCGTATCTCAGCATTGTTTAAGAAGCCCGGTCTTGTCTATGGCTGCACAGTCAGTAACTGCTGCCGCACTCCGGCCATTGCTGAAAGCACACGCCTCCTCCCTGGGATTGCTTTCCCTGCCTTCTGATTTCTAAAGGGTATCTGAGATACTCAGAGCCGGCTTTGCCATCCCCGCGTCTCTTCTAGCCTCAACTGGCCCTAGTCTCTAAGAACTCCCATGATCCTTCTCACCCAGAACTCTACCTCTGCTCTCCTCCCTTGGACTCATTTCTGTTGTATCATCTGTAAATCCTAACTGGTTCTGTCTGCTTGTCCAAGACAGGGTCTCACGTAGCTCAAGCGGGCCTCAAACTGCATAGCAGAGAGTAACTCTGAGCTTCTGACCCTCCCGGCTCCACCTCAGAGGGGCTAGAATTTCAGGTATGTGGCACCATGCAGAATTTATGCGGTGCCATCCGCCGAAGCCAGGGCTTTATGCAGTCGGGCAAGCACTGTGTCAGCTGAATCAAATCCAACCCCCTCAACATCTCTGACCCCGCAATTTCTTACTGAAGTGGATATCCTGCCATTGTCCACAGGATATTTGACCTCTGAATGATGTTTCAGTGGATATATCTTGCTTTAATTCAGAGTCTTCTTTAATCTAAATTTTCTGCTTTGTAAACTCTTAATAACAGTAAGCACTGTTACGGACGGCAGATGCCTCTCCATTGCTTACCCTTCTGTCTATGCTCACATTACCTCCTTCTTCTGCCATGCGTTTTGTTTTGCCGGGGTGGGGGGGGGGTTCCAGCACGCCTGCAATGAGAAGGAGGGCTATACAAGCAGAATCATCAGCGTTACTGGGGGGAAAGTTCGCAGCATTTCCCCGTATCCATTGAGTGACAAGGCGCTGTGTGTACACACGCACGTGAAAGGGCTTTCTTTTCTCCAGGGAGACACGAGGCATGCAGATGACGATTGCCTCTGTGTGACCACCTTTCATCTTTAGACTCTCTGTCTACGATGCAAAGGGTACACATGGTGGAAAAATCATCTTTCCGCTAGCCCCTCAAAAAGGGCATTTCACTTGTTTCCCCATTGAGTTTTGCAGCCTTATTTATTCTCTTCCTTTTAAAATTAATTTCTTTTCCTACAATATATTTTGATCACATTAGTTTCTTCTCCCAACTCCTCCTGCCCCCCCCACCTCCCTAGCCACCACGGTTTAAGTTCTCTGTAAGTGTGTGTGTGTGTGTGTGTGTGTGTGTGTGTGTGTGTGTGTTATCTCTCTGAGGTTATTTCACATTTGAATCTTTTTGTCTTCTCTCTACTCATTATCAACATTTATCTCACTTCTTATCTTACTTTGTCTTGTTCTGAGGTAAGTTTATTGGTTTAATGAGACATTTGATGCAAGCACTCACTGCATCTTTCTCTTAATTTCCTGTGTACCTGTCTTGAGGATAACTTTCTGTTTATTCTTATTTCTGTTCAAAGCACGTGGCGGTGCTGTCATACTTTGAAAATGAATGAATGAATGAATGAGTGGGAATGAGTGAATGACTTTTTTTTCTTCTATCCTTTGACATTTCTGGGGTGTCATCTGATCTAGACCTTTCAAACTTAGAATATGTATCTGTCTAGTTGATTCACGGTATCAAAGTACCATAGGTTGATGAGCCTAAATAGCAGGGACTCACTTTCTGACCACTGTGACTTGGGAGTGCTCAGAGGTGCGGTCTTCCCTCCGCTTACCTCCTCTACTGCAGATGGCTGCCACCTTACAGTGTCTTCACTTGAGTTCTCACGTGAGCCCCTATTACTAGCGTGCACTCCTTGTCTCTTGAGAGCATTAGCCATGCTGGGTTTGAACCCACCCACATGATCTCACGAAGCCACAGCTGCCTCTCAAAAGTCCCATCTCCAAATACAGTGACATGCTAAGGCACTGGCCCAGGTGGCGGCTATAACAATGAAATCCCGAGGGAAGACATTTTCTGCCCCTTGCAGAAGCATGAAAGGAATCACGGGACCTCCTGATTCTGCTGTTCATAACACTGGGATTTGGGGTGCTTTGGGGGAAATCTAGGCAGAACTGCGGGAGGGTTTTCAGGTTTTTTTCAGTGGAAATCTCATAAAATTTAGTATATCATGAATTGACTCTCATTTTGTAATGTAATAATATTATATAGACTGAACTCTGTCCTTCCCCTGATTATAAACCCCCATTTGAACAACATCTAAATTCATTCATAGCAGCACTGTTTGTATGGTTTTACTCTTCCTTTTCCCTCCCAGGGCTGAAGAAATTCGTAGAAGACACAATGAAGAGAAGTTTGTTATGAATACACTCATCTTTCAAAAAGCCTGTGCAAGACTAGAGGAGGCTAAAGCAAAGGCTGAATTTATTAAGACACATTACACATCTAAGTCTCAGAAAAGAGAATAAGAATGGGCCAGGACCAGTTCACAGCCGATGATAACCATAAATCATGGCCCTATTTTTGTTGAAAGGATCTTGAAATAAATCTTGGGAGACATACTCTGCACAAGTATGTCAGGGCATGAGCCTGTTCAAGTTGAAAGAGAAGAGAGCCGTGGTTTTCATACAGATTATATTGTACATCTGGCTGACTTTACACTTGTTATATACCCATGTGTTCAAAAGTGAGTCAAAGCTGTGGGAATCCTTCAAAAAGTCTTCAAAAGGATGTACAGTTCCATAGGTTCTGAAGATGAACAAGTTATGAAACATTTTCAAAATTTTCTGCTGCTTTCATTTTTTATTGCTGAATTTTATTAAGATATAACATGCAGTAAAAGTTTTAGTTACCCAATTTCACATATTGAATTATAATACATTTCCTGATTATGTTATTAAAACAATTTCTGAATTTTGCTTTCCTTTCTTTGTCAAAATAACGGTTTCACCAACGCATCAGTTATTTTTACCTATAAAGATTTATATGATATAATGTGTTTTTCTTTAAATCTCTGGGGTTCCTCCACCCAGCTCCCTTATAAATACGTGGAGACATATTCTTACTTATGAATACCCTTCTTAGCTTGGCTTCCTTATAGCCAGCTTTTCTAATTTAAATCATTGTGTTTCTCCTTAACTATGTTTTGCCTTTGGGCTTTTTACCTCTGTTGTATATACTGTTCTTTCTCCATTGCTAGCTGTGTGGCTGTGTGACTGTGTGGCTGTGTGGCTGGGTTGCTGTGTGACTGTGTGTCTGGGTGGCTGGGTGGCTGGGTGGCTGTGTGGCTGGGTGGCTGGGTGGCTGAGTGACTGTATGTCTGGGTGGCTGAGTGTCTGGGTGTCTGGGTGTCTGGGTGGCTATGTGACTGGGTGGCTGGGTGACTCTGTGGCTGTGTGGCTGGGTGGCTGAGTGACTATGTATCTGTGTGTCCGGGTGACTGTGTGTCTGGGTGGCTGTGTGACTGTGTGACTGTGTGACTGTGTGTCTGGGTGTCTGGGTGTCTGGGTGGCTGGGTGTCTGGGTGGCTGAGTGACTGTATGTCTGGGTGTCTGGGTGGCTGGGTGTCTGGGTGGTTGTGTGGCCGTGTGTCTGGGTGGCTGAGTGACTGTGTGTCTGGGTGGCTGTGTGGCTGAGTGTCTGGGTGGCTGTGTGACTGTGTGTCTGGGTGGCTGAGTGACTGGGTGACTGTGTGGCTGTGTGTCTGGGTGTCTGGATGGCTGGGTGTCTGGGTGGCTGGCCCCTGGCATCCTCCTTTCCTTCTCCTTTCTTTGCTCCCCTCTCTTCTAATTTTTCTTTCTCTTTGTCTGCCAGCCCCACACCACTGAACTCTCCTGCCTATCCATTGGCCTTTCAGCTCTTTATTAGACCAATAAGGTGTTCTAGGCAGGCAAAGTAACACAGCTTCATAGAGTTAAACAAATGCAACATGAAAGAATGCAGCACATCGTTGTAAAATATTCCACCTCATAAACGAATGTAGCACATCTTCATCCAATATCCCTCAACAATATAAGATATGGGATTCAACATTCTACCATCCTTCTTGGAGACTGTAATGTTTTTGTGTTTATGTTTGATGCATTTGTCCTTTCTGCAGAGATTTTAGCACAGAGAAGATAGGAAAAACAACAACAACAGGAGAATGTGTGAAACTATGTCATGGCAATCTTAAACTATACAGAAATAACATTTAAGTATTTAATGTTAATAGTAGACAGTTTGCCAAATATAAAGTATTGAAAATATAAAAATCCCTTTAATCATCTAGAATAATAGGAAACTGAGGTCACTGTGACATCACCGGACCGGGTACCATTTAGATCTGTCTTTAATTTCACCAGTTACATGCCCAGGCTTTAAAGGTGTGACACTTCAGAAGCTCTCTGACTATCAGGCTATTTCAAGTTTCTAAAAATTAAGTACTTGATAATGAAAATTTTCATGTGTGTGCTTTAGTGCTCTACGGTTATCAAATGTGGGTAATGTTTCACACAATGATAGCTGTCTATTTAAATCCCCAACAACAGCTTCCACTGTCCTAATTATCAGATAACTAACAAGTGACTCATTCTGTGTTTTGAATCATTCTGCAGTAAGAGAAATGGGAGATAGCACGGGCCACAGAAAACCCTGCAGAATGATCTTCCACAGCAAATCTCTGAGTAAACCTCTGTTGCTTCTCTTTTCTATTCAGATTTTGAGAGTTACATGTATATATTATATATTTACAGAAAATAGTAACCCATATCCGTGGTGATACGTTATTTATGGTATAACAAATAAAGCTTTCCTGGAGATCATAGTGCTAATCTAGTCACAGTCAACAGAGGCCAGGCAGTGGTGGTACACACCTTTAATCCCAGCACTCAGAGACAGAGACAGATGGATGTCTGTGAGTTCAAGGCCTCCTGGGATACATGAGAGTGAATCAGTCTAAAAGAGAAGCAGCTCATGCCTTTGATCCCAGCACTAGGGAGGTGGAGACAGGAGTGACATGGCTGGCTGGAGAGAGGCATATAGGGCAGGAACTCATTGCGTTCTGAGGTTTGGTAAGGAGCAGTGCAGTCTAGGCAGAAGGCAGTGGGAGGTTTGATGACGACAGATGTAGTCTGAGGACAGGATCGCCCTTTCGGTCTGAGCACTGGTAGAGGAGAGAGCTCTCCAGTGGCTGACACTTTGCTTCTCTGATCTTCAGCTTTAACCCCAATATCTGTCTCTGGGTTTTTATTATTTGTGCCATACGTATCAGTTAGTGTTGTTTTAGGATTTGGACGTAGAATGAAGCATAAATTAAGCAGCATGGTATGTCTCACAAAGTAAGCATTTACTAGATGTCAGTCCACAAACCTGGGAGTGAAGAGCTTCTCTACACACAGGGGCATTTGTTAAGTCTTTCGGAACTATTTGACAGGCATCAGGAAGGATAGGAAGACACACGCATTTGATGTATTAAGAACAATTTATTCATTTCGTACTGAGTTTGTGTATGTATTTTTCTATTCTCCCACTCTATTTTATAGCTTTTATCTCATTGCGCACAACCAACAATTTCCTTGACTGTTTTGATTCAGCTCTGAGCCAGAAGGCAAAGAGTATTCTTTTTCTGTGCCTCTACTTCTTCACACCAAAGCAGATGGCACGTGTGTGTGTGTATGCACACACACATACGCACACACACACACCTGCTTCTTCCCTTTATAACTCACCTATGTGTTATCATAAGTTGGTCTCATTGTATCACTCCTTCTCACTGTTCACATTTGAAGAATCTGGGATCTGTATCCCAGGTTACCTCTCTAGTTCTGGTATGTCTCTGATATTTCCAAAACGCAAACGTGACGCCTCTATTTAAGGCCTGAAAAGTTTCTGAAGTTGCATATTAAAAGCAAATTAATTTGTATTTCTTACCATCCATCTGTCCTCCCACATCATGAGCCTCCAATGTTTCCCGGCATCACAGTGCAAACATTCTTTGCGGCCATCCATCCCAAAAGCGTAGGTGGTAACTGGCTTCCCTTATTTAATTATATTTTATTAAGTATTATATCCTGTCAGCTCTGCCACCAAAAGGTCTCTACAGATGACTAGCTAGCTTTTCTTCTGTTCTCTCTGTCTCTCTGTGGTTTCCATCCCACTCTCCCTACAAGTGACTGAGGCACACATCCAAGTCTCAAGTGTGTTCACTTTTCTGTGCCTGTGGGTCCTCCATGAGTTTCCCACCAGCTGAACGATGAGTGGGTAAGACAAGGCAAAGACACCGAGACACTGCTTGTTAAATATCTGGGTCCCTCTTTTTCTAGGAGTGTGTTATACTAAGTGCCACCCATCAATTACGTTCGGGTGGCAGCTAACATATTTTTTTATTCTGCTCTCATACAATACATCCTGACGCAATTTCCCCTCCTGCCAAACCCCCTTACCTCCCCTCTCCCTCTCAGGGATATCACCCAAACTTGCATACAAGATACAGTAACACTAAGTAGAAAACCTCCTATCAAGTCTGGTTGAGGCACTCCTGTATGAGGAAGAGGTTCCCAAGAGAAGGCAAAGGAGTCAGAGATACCTCTGCTTCCACCGTTAAGAGTCACACAGAACACAAAGATAATAGGTATGATAAATATGTATAGGACCTAGGACAGACCTGTCCTAGGAGCCCCTGTGCACCCTGCTTAGCTGGTTTTGTGACCTGTACTCTTCCGGTGAATTTCAATCCCTCTGGCTCTAAGTGTTCTTTCTCCTAAAATCATAAGAATCCTAAGAGCTGACAGCTATCCAATAAGTGAAAGTTTTGCTTTTTCTAATAAGCCTGTGTAGTCGCAGCATCCATGCTTACTAAGGAAATTTGTATTGAGGATAGAAATATGAACCATCTATGCTGTTGAGGGTAGCCCAAGGGAGGAGGAAGTTATCTTTAAGGACAGTCAGTACAGTCTGAAGACTGAGGAGCACACAGAACTGTAACATCCACTCAGGTCTTGCTGCAGTTCACATGCAACTGTGGTAGGAAGTTAGTAGTTGACTGTGATTTTACTGCAGTAAGGTGGAATTCAACAGAACAGGCCAGCCAGAGCTAGCCTAGATGACGTAACCCTGACCATTTCCATAGGTACTGTTTGCTTGCAAGATTTTAGACCCGAATCATAAAACACTGCTAGGTTCTCTCTTCCAAATGAATAAACCTTAGATGTTACAAATTCTCAAATAAATGCCTGCTGTAACCTCTCTGATGTGCGCAAATCACGCTAAAGCATGGGTGCCGTCTGGCCGATGCAATTTTACTTGCCCGAAGTATGAAAGTAGTTTGAAAGTAACTGCCGAGAGAACAGTATATTCTTGGAAAAATTGATAACAAAATAAAGTGAGGTCCTGAAGCAAATGTTAACAGAAAAAGGTTAATCTAAAGAGGAAGTGACTGGAAAAGTTTAGAGCCACAGAGGAAGCAGCCTGCAGCCTCTCTCTGAAAGTGGTCCATATACCATACCCGTCCACATAGCCCGTTTCCCGGGTCTGCCTCGGGGTCCTTGGGAGAAACTATCAAGAGAGGCCCTATAGGCTTTAATGACAGCAGCCTGCAACTTAGAATGATCTAATACTAGTGGCTGTTACCAACCTTCGTTCACATCCCTTCCTTTCCTTCAGGAATTAATCCTTATTTTGTACTGATTATTTTTGATGCACTAAGGAAAGATGGTTAAAACCATAATGACATCAGGGACTTCAGTCTACATCTTCTGTTACGTTCCCCATTTTGTGACTCCAGGAAAACCATGGAGGTACTGTATGTACCACAGTGTCTTCATTCTTAATTTGGTAATTGTGCCAAGTGGTTAGGACATCAGAAGTCCCGACAAGACATTCAATACGGAAGTGATTCTTAGGTACAAAATAGTAGAGATTTCACAACTTTTGAG